TAGAATCTGACCCCTTTGTTCCCTTTACACCTCTCCCCCCCCTTATCCCCTCTACTACTGATTAGTTGCTTAAACTTTCGTTAACTCTACCTTTCCTTATGTTATTGTATTGCCTGATGATGAATTAATCGAAGACGTTCGTTCGCCTAACTTTACTTCCTGAATAAGAAAATTGTTTTGAGCAGCTTTTTGCTAGAGGGTTATCCTTGTGTAAGACTGCGCCAGAGCCACAGAGGATGGTCTCTTTCTTGGTCTTTATCATAGATACGAAACGTGCGTGCATATCGTCGTAGGATTTTTCGTTCGCACTTTATTAACTCGACTGGGATGAAAGATTCTGGGCTAGCTGTAGTGGTGAATATCTCCTCGTAGAGATGGGATTCCTGTTTTATGAGCCAGTCATTGATTCCATATTGTAGAGAAGGTAACTTTTTGGTGCCGAAGGTGACTTCTTGCTTGGCCTTTTGGTTGGCCACCCTTAAAGAAAGTTTATACTACATTTGTCGCATTTAGGTGTCCGTTTTCCGCTAATCGGGTGGCAATGTCCACCTTGCACCACGTCAGTTCGATGACGATCAGAACTGTTTACCTCAGTGGTCGATAGGCTGGCGAATTACCGAGGAGAATATGAGTCTTACATGTTGCCAAAGTGACTGCGGTCACCGGAGGGGGATGCAAGTGTGTCGCTTGCTTGTTTTCTCGTCGAATTAGTAACGTCCAGCAGCCGCATTCGGTTATGTAGATGCCGCGAGCTACGCATTATGGGGCACAGTTTTTAGCTCATTCTACCTCTAGTGGTTTAGTAGTGCTTCCCTGAATGTAACTGTCTAGACGGATTATGTGCCTGCTACCTCTACAATAGCACACGGTTTGTTTAGTAAAACTGTGACCCGCATTAACATGGTCTGAGGCATGCGGGAGGACTAATTGCAGACAGTAATTGTAAAGAACAAAAGTTTATTGACTTGAAAGCATAACTATTCAAAATAAAATTTCGCATTTATTGATTATTCTTAATTAAGGCAAAATTGCCGAGTAATTTATTTTGACTTCATGGATATTCATCGTCCTTTTACAATTTCCCGTTCCCCTTGGCTTTAGGTGTTCGCCAGCTTTTTAACTCTTGCGGCAAGAGCCTACAGCGGCTGTCCTTCATTGGATGCTCTAAGGGTGCCTTTCAAGGTGATTCAATCTTATTGATTTCTGCACTCTACTGTAAGAATTTATCTCACATCGACGCCAGTTACGCGCATACCGTGCGCGACCAGACCATTCGCGCAGTTGCAGAAGCCTCTGTCGCCCTGAAAAGTGTTCAGCTCAACGGAGCCCAAAATATCTCCAACTCGGCGATTGAGCATCTCGTACGCTACCACAAGTCCACTTTGGTGAGTCTGATATGGCAGCCTTAAATTATACTTGTGGTTTTTCTGACTGTGATTTATTCACACTGCGAGACGCCCGGTGTAGCCAAACTATTGTTTACCGTCTTAAGTCCTGTCACCAATCCTGTATGCAGCCGATTTACTGTCCCAAACCATGCATCGTTAGTACTGTATTTTCCGCACTATAGGGCACACCGGATTATAAGACGCACAGCCAATTAATCGTTTATTCTCGAACTTTTTTTCCTATATAAAGCGCACCGGACTATTAGGCGCATCAAGGGAAACAAAACAGTCAGATTAGTCAGTCAGTCAAACTTTATTTAACGCATTCACTATAACTCTCAACCTTGTTCTGTTGTGACACGTTGAAAACACAGTCTGATGCCGCTACATCAAACGTTAGCGTATCCACGATAATTCTTACAACTGTACACGTAAAATACAACACAATGCACTCACTTTCAGTTCGTTCCTCGCCCGAAAATACCCCAAAATTTTCATCTTCGGTTTCCGAGTTGAACAGTTGGGCCATTATGACATCCATATTGTCTGGATCCGTCTCGTCATTATCCAAGTCAGTGTCGTTGCTGTTACCTGGCAGTTCACTGATGTAGGCTCGGACCACAGTCGTGTCTGATACGTCAACCCAAGTATCCACAATTCATTGGCAGATAGTGGCGTAAGTCGCCCGGCGCTGTCTCCCCGTCTTGGTGAATGTGTGTTCGCCTTCTGTTATCCACTGCTCATCCACCTCAGTCTAACTCTGAACGCTCTTTTGACATCAATATCTAGCGGCTGGAGTTCTTTAGTTAATCCACTCGGGATAATGGCAAGCTCCGAATTGGTTTGCTTCGCTCGGTTTTGCACGGCACCGGTGAGATGAGCGCGCATGGAGTGGCCAATCAATAGGGATGGAAGATTTTGGAAAAAGCCATCCGGTCTCTTGACGTAAATTTCTTTCAGCCACTCATCCTTTTTTCCTCGTCCACCCAGTCCTTCGGGTTAATTTTGACGATGAAGCCGGCTGGAAACTGTTATTTTTGCAAAGTTCGCAAATGATAGCGGTATTACGACATGGCGAAAGTTGGTCGCGACCCAGTTAGTATTCACCCACCGTCTTGCACCATTCTGGAACGTCGGGCTGGCGTCCCGAAAAATTGGCGAATTATATGGACTCATCGATATCCAAGTACTGCTCCTTCAAGTTTATGCTAAAACGTTGTTAAAGGACGGCGATTCAATTCACCTTCTCAAGACATAGAACGGAGAAGGCTCAGGTTCAGGCCGCACCCGGTTCAACTCCTCGGCCACGACCTCTTAACATCCCTTTGAAAAGTGAACCAAAGATACAGCTTCTGGTACAGAGGAAATCATCTCTACGGAGTCCGGTATATTCGGATTTTTTCAGCCGGATTACTAGCTGAAAAGATAAATGAAAGTGAGACTGTTAATAAAATAACTAGACAAACGAATGAGCAATGGCAAAACACATCTCAAAATAAGGCGCGTACGAATAGTTGAAGTCAAAATAGCATTTCTTTCGCCGGTGGCAGTCACTGACAGCCCAACTGCTCGTTCTCTCAGAAACCAAAAGCGTTCCCCCTTAGACTGTTCATTTTAAATGTCACGCTCCTGCTTAATAAAATGTCCATGCTCTGATTTAAGTCCACCGTCCAGACATTGTTATAGTAATGGAGACATGGGAAACCCTGCATATCTGACTCTGAACTCTATTCTAGGTTATGCCTACATTCGGAATGATCGACACGACAACTGGGGTGGAGGCAGTTGTATCTATATTAAGCAACCAGTTGCATTTCTGCCGTTGGACTATTCACAATTCACCGCGGTAGGAGAAAGTTGTTGGCTTCGAATTGCTTTAAAGAATAAGTAGTGTTTACTCGTTGGCTGTGTCTACCGCCCACCCAACGTCATTGAGGATCACGATCTTCGTACCTCACAGGCATTTCGTGCCGTGGCTGACTTAAACTTTGAGTATTGCTTGATTGCAGGTGACTTAAATCTTGTTGTTGTTGTTGTTTCTACAGTAGAACTGGAAGCTGATGAAACTTTCCAAAAGTGAATTTTTTCTATGATTTCCGATCAACGAATTCGGCAGAATTATTGACATATCTTAATTCTCACGATTGGCCTGACTTCCTCATAAGTTTGGATGGAAGTGTTTGCATTGATAAACTGTACCATGTTTTGCGTCCACTCACCAACTGTCATGACTCAATTACTGAAAGAGAGATTTAAACTTTATTTTTAAAATATCATTCCAAAGTCTTCAGCAAACGCGTCCTCCATTCATCATAAATAAAATAAGGCACAGAAACCGCAATTGTCGATATCGTAGGGAAATGTCCTTGAACGTCTTTCAAAATGCAGGC